GAGGCTAATGCCACCAGAGTCTGAATACTCAGTCTCAGCTGCGCTGGGACCTCAAATGAAGCAGGTCTTGACCACTGCATTTTGGGGAAAGCGGTGCTCTGTGTACTTACCTGATGTGAGAAAGGCAAGGGTACCAATTGTTTCGTTGGACATGATGTTATGGAAACGTGCCAGCTGTCCAAACATCTGCAGGCCAGCTTCCTTCTCTCGGCGGGCTTCTGGAGTCAGACTGTCCCATTCACCTCGGTCCTTTTCAATCTGCTGGATCTTTATCTTGCTCAGATACTATGGGAACCAGAGGCAGAATGTATCATCGAAGAAGTTCAGTTGAAGGGAGGATCAGACTTGAGGTCCCATTTACAATCTAGGCCACTATGCTGGGAAAACCAGGGACGGCCACAGAGACATGAGGCTTTATTTCTCAGCAGAGGGCTGAAGCTAAAAGAGAAATTCTGGGGAAAAAGAAAAACTGTGGCCCCGTACAGTTTTGTTTCAGCCTAGGTAGACTTATTGGTAATTCCTCTAGAAATATTATAGAGACTAAGTGGTGTAATGTGTGAAACCCAAGCAAAAACAAATAGGACGAAAAAGAGGATGAACCCTTCCTGAATGATGGAAAAAATAAAATGAAATCCCCCAAAGCTGTATTAAAAACCAAAGCTTTATCAAACACACAAGACGCCAGGAAGGAGAACCATAGTTAAAACCCCCCTTTGCTGTTACAGCAAACATGTTAAAATTACAGTCCCATGAAAATACCATTTGGGTCATTGTTTGTATCACACAGCTCTTACTAGAAGGGGCTGTTTACTGTTTTCTAAGAAAATCTATCTAAAATCTTACAGGATTACTAGAGGCCTGGTGCATGGATTTGTGCATCAGAGGGGTCCTTCGGCCCGGCCTGCACCCTTTCACAATCCAGGACCCCTCAGGGATGTCAGACTGCCAGTTTGGCCTGATCCCGCAGGCCAGGCTGAGGGACCCCACCGGTGCACGAACTGGTGCACTGGGCCTCTACTATGCATATAAGATCTTTGGTTAACCTCTTCCCACCCACCCTCCTCCCCCCTTCCCTCTTCGATTCATCAGTCTGTTCCATGTTTCCATGCCTGTAAGTTGAGCGTCTGCCCCCTGGTGGTCAGTGCATGTCATAGCTACCGGCCGAACAGTCAGGCGGTCGCTTAGGCTTTTATATATATAGATGCAAAACGCAGGAAAAGTTTCTCACAAGTTGCTGGGAGACTGCTAATCAATAGGAGGAGCTCATGGCTCTCCAACAGGCTACCCTCATGATGTTCCTGCCTCCTCTCCAGCTGGTCACTGCTTATCCCTTTGCAGGCACGGGAAGTTTTTACATGAGCAACAGCCAGCTCCATAGGGATGGTTCAGGATACAAAACCCCAAAGGGGCTGAGAGGCACCAGCTGTCCATGTTGTGAAACCCATGTTTCTATACAGCTAAAGATTTGGGGGGTTGTGGAGAGATGGAGAGTATTGGCAAGTCTTTACATGAAAAAACAAGCCAAGCTAGTTTTTTTCCAAGCAGTGGTGTAAAAATCACATCTTTCAGGAGAGGGATAAGAAGCGTTGCCTCAGTGAGCCACTGTTACTAACGTGTTGGGATGGAAAAGGTTGAAGAGAAAGTCACTGACCATATGTGAGGTTCTGGCTTCTGTGGGGCTAGTTAGTTCTGGCAGTCTACCTCAGTTTGGCCTCATCATATATTCTTTTCCACCCTCTGCCAAGGCATCATCCCAGCTAGAGGCTTCAATGAGCCTTGCTTTTGGTCTTTAATGGAACCACGCTTCTCGAGCTCTGTAAGGGGAAGGCTGGTAGTACACTGCTACTTGCAGATTTCTAGTGTCTAAAACTGGTACTAAAAGCATGAAGATTGCTCTATTGTGATGAAAAGTTTAAAAGTATGTACTGGCCATGATTTGAAGGTGTAGGAGCAGTTAATCTGTTTGGGTTTTTTACCTGTATGGCTTCATCCAAAAGGAATATGGCATCATTCATTAGCAGGTTAAGAAAGCGGAGAAAAAGTGGGGGATTCATGGCTTCTAAATTCTTAGAGGCATAGTCAGCCAAATCCTGTAAGTCCCAGCCCAAGAGAAAACCATTTTAGTACTGAACCGCAACTTATGGGGTTTATCTGAAACAAAAACTCTGATAACTTAGTCTGGTTTCACCGAAAACTCTTACCTTAATGCTCTCTCGATAGGTATCTGTTCCCCACATGTACCTTAGAATGGGATACATGGGACGGCGGTAATTGAACTTCTGTTCAAACTGATGGGGGTCTCCTGGAGTAAGGCAAGAGCAGAACCCAGCAAAGGTGTTAAAGGTGCCATCAGAGAAAGAGTAAGAGCTTATGTCTATGTGTGGCCATTTTCCTTGACTCTGAATGTGTCAAGGCTGACAAAATCTGCCTTGAGAGCTCATAGGCCTAGAGCTGTAGGCAAGCATTTGCTTACTTCCTCACTGACAGAGCAGAAGAATACCTTGTCCTACAGAAGAGGACAAGGACTGACCTACACAATAAAAGCCAAGGGAAACAAATGCTTCCACATGAAATGTAGAGTATTTATCAGACTCTAAATGAGCCTCTGCCTGCCACTATGGCAGACAGCCATGTGCAGATGGGAAATCAAATAATCCCCACAATCTTCACAGATAATATGCCAGATGTGTGGCCAACTCTTCCTTCCTTCCTTCCTTCCTTCCTTCCTTCCTTCCTTCCTTCCTTCCTTCCTTCCTCCTCCCTCCCTCCTCCCTCCCTCCCTTCCTCCCTCCCTCCCTCCCTTTCCTTTCTCATTTCCTTCTTTCAAAGTATTTTTATTGATTTCAGATAGGAAGGGAAAGGGAGAGATAGAAACATCAATGATGAGAGAGAATCACTGATTGGCTGCCTCCTGCATGACCCCCACTGGGGATCGAGCCCACAACCTGGGCATGTGCTCTGATCAGGAATCAAACCCGGGGCCTTCAGTCCACAGGCCAACACTCTATCCACTGAGCCACACCAGCCAGGGCCGTTTCTTAATTACTCTGAAAAATCAGGGCAGAAGCTGAAAACCTGTGGCTTATATTGCATTTGACCACTAGAGCATACAGGTCAGGTCACATAATAAAGGAAGAGCATGGGGTATGGAGTTAGAAGACCTAGGTTTTCCTTCCGCTCCACATCATGCAAGTCTCTTAACCTTTTGCAACTTTCACTTCCTCTGATATAAGACAGGGATTATAACATATCCTGAGATAATTGCAGGAAACTAAAGAACTGTGTTATGAGATAATGAGGAAACTGCAGCAATTTATTGCTCAACTGCATTTACCTACGAACCAAGAGGCTGCCTATTTGATTCCCAGTTAGGGCACATGCCTGGGTTTTGGGCTCGATCCCCAGTAGGGGGCATACAGGAGGCAGCCAATTGATGGTTTTTATCCATGTTTCTATCTCTCGTTCTAAAAAAGAGCAAGAAAAAGATATTAAAAAAATTAAATGTCTCTTTTTAATTGTCCAACAACTATGCGATATACCTCAAACTAGTAAAAAATAATATTGAATGTAAACTGTGATGGAAAAATAAAATTAAAAAAATAATAAATGTTGTATTTGTCATTGGATACTAGGACATCCCCTTTAAGAGGGGTCTGGCCCTGGCCAGTGTGACTCACTGGTTGGAGTGCCATTCCACTCCGAAAGGTTGTGAGTTCGATTCCTGATCAGGGCACACACCTAGGGTGTGGGTTTGGTCCCCAATTGGGGCATATACAAGAGGCAACCAATTGGTGTTTCTCACATCGATGTTTCTCTCTCTCTCTCTCTCTCCCCCTCTCCCTCTCTTTCTCTCTCTAAAAAAAACCCCAAAAACCCTCGGTGAAGATCAAAAAAATAATTAATAAAAAGTAAAAAGGGTCTTAAGTAACTGCTTAACATCCTGTTTACTGGTTGCGATGGGGTATTGTTTACTCAAACACAGCATCTCAGGGTTAGATCTCAAAAGGCCGAGAGAGAAAGGGAGTGTCGCCTGCTGTTCTTTTTTTGTTAATCCTCACCGGAGGATACTTTTTTCCATTGTTTCCAGAGAAAGTGGGAGGGAGGGAGAAAAGAAGGGGTGGGGGGGAAGGAGAAAGAGAAAGATCAAGGTTGATTGGTTGCCTCTGGAATGCACCCCAACCAGGAGCGGGGAGCAAACCTCAACCTAGGTATATGCCCTTGACCTGGAATCAAACCCTTGACCCTTTGGTGTGCAGGCTGACACTCTAACCATTGAGCAACACTGGCCAGGGAGCCTGCTGCTATTCTTAATCTAACAATTAGACTATTAGACAGTTTGGATAAAAGAATATTTCAATCAGCACACTGTCTCATTATCCACTATTCTGCAATTCTGAGGCAGAGAAAATAAAGTCTCGGGTTTTAATCAGACAGCCTAATTTATTTGAGTATGGTTTGATCAATCAGTAAATAATAAAGTTGGTAAGAGTATGTGTTGTTTTTTTTGAGGAGAAAGACCTAAGCCTACCACTCAGTTGTATGACAGACAAATAATTTATTTTTTTGAGGATCCATGTCCTTATATGTAAAATGAGGATAATACAGTAAAACTTTCCAATGGTGACAAATTCATGAAACAATGTAAAAAAAAAAGCACTTAGCATCAAGGTGGCACACAGTAGGTGGCACACAGTAGGAATTCAACAAATGATGACATTTTTCTGATATTCAAATACTGACAAGAACTCAAACTAGTAAAAAATATCAGCTATGAAACTGCACAAGTATCAGCTTTTTAGTTCTTGTCTCCTTTACCTGTGAACTCAATGTCCACAAAGACCTTGATCAGAGCTTCCGCAAGGTGGGCTGCGTAGGGAAAGTTGCAGAATACACGTTTCCGGTGGAACACACTCGACACCAGGGGACTTGGGGTCTGATCCAGGTGGGGCATCACTGCTTCCAGCACCTCAGCCAGCTTGGCCCTCAGGTGGGGATTCTTCATCCTGCAAACAGGGCAGAAAGCAAGTTGAGTGGGTAGATTTTAAAAAACGTTTTATTTTCTTTATTTGATGGTGACAACAAAGACTTTACTACTTAAACCTGAAGTTACTGGTGACCCTTCTCTCCAGGCAGAGTAACTAAAGACACAAATCTGTAAAGAAACTAGAAGAGGCGTGAGCCAGGCTGCTGTGAGCCGGAGCGCATACCTGCACTTCAGCTGGGCAGGTGAGCCAAAGCCACGGGCTGCTTCCTAGGACTTGAACCTACAGTTTTTCTGACAACCCTTTCAACAACTGCATTCCACTGTATCTTCTTAAATACAAAAAAGCAGTCCTTGTAATAAAATCACATTTTCCAGAATTATACACAATACATTCAGAACCACTGACTGCTTTTTCTTTCCCTTTTCCCCTTGAACGTGTAGGTGTTTGTCTCTTGTGCTTTCTCCTTCTATGTCAGATAAGGGCTGTTTGAAAACTATTTCATTATCTTCATCAACATTCATTTCAGCCGCTTCAGGTTTTTATTTCTCCGAAAATACTGGTGTACACTGGTGCAGGGCCTGGCTAGCCAGTCTTCTCAGGAGTATGAAGAGTAACTGAAACCTCTTTCTTCTTCTTCTTCTTAGGGAAAGGGCTTGGCCGTGCCCTCTACGATCACCATGCCAAAACCGTCCAAGCCAAGGAGTCAAATTGTCTCCAGAGGAGCAAACATCCCATACCAGCACTGTGGGAAACAGGGCTCTGCGGCTTTAAGTCTGTCAATTTCTGGGGGGTAATATAGGGAATACCATTCAACTTTGAGGTCACAGCTTACCAAGTGTGAGGGTGAGTACTTGGGTTTGTATTTACTGCTTAGCCATTCTGTGTACTTCTCTATAATGCATTCTTTCCTGCTTACTATTCTGACTGTTTCATCAGGGATACACTTGCCTTTCCAAGCGTTCTGAAAGCAAAGGCCAGGATAATTATTCTGTTACCGACAGTGCATACCAGGTGCACCTAATAAATACTTGCTGACTTATGTTTCCTCATTAGATCTGCTCAGCTCAGTGAAGGATCGCTTTTACCTACTTCTCACTGACATGGCTCCAAGGACTGTGGCTCATTCTCTTCTCCGTGGAGCAATCCTCACTACGTACACACTGTTTGTTTCCTTGGGCCGAGGCACCAGAAACATCAGAGAGGCATCTCTACCGTCAGTGAGAATCGTCCTTTGGCAAAAAGGACTAGAAGCGATGAACGAGAAAGACTTGAAATCAGAAAGCATTTACCTAAGTTTACTGCTCACCCAACTCAGGACTTCAAGAGCAACCAGTATCATACGGTTATTAAAAGATCATTAGCACCTGGCTGCCACGGGTCAGGTTTCTGCATTAAGGTAAGTTTCACTAGGGGCTGGCAGTGGCATGCCTATCAGGTACCTTATAGGAAAGTTCAAATTCCCTGTGGGCAAGAGTGGGGTTTCTGGCTACCCATAGGATGGTCAGGTGATCGACAATGTAACACAGCTTCTGGCTTGTCCTCGGTGAGAAGTCTCTGAACGCTCTGCAGCTCTAACCAGGGAAGCTGAGCCCCAGCGCTTCACCTTTCTATGCTTCCCGTGAAGACAGTGACGAAGTGAAGCACGTGCTCCAGGGCGTCTGCGGACGTCTCCAACATGTCATCCGCAAAGCGGCGGAGGAAGATGAGGAAATCACCCAGGTTATCTGCAAAAAATTCTGGGAAAAAAGTCACTGGAATTAGCCAAATGCCTGACTTTCTGTACATACAAATTCTACACTGTATTCAGTGAAGGTTAACAGAACCCAAATGTCTTATAGATACTAGGAATGGTGACAAGTTAATAAATGTAGAGTCTCCTTTAAATGTGTCAATTTTTATTTTTATCCAATAAATATAAGAGCAGTAGGGACACAAAAATACTGTTAACACATCAGTGCAGTTTCAGAGAGTACACCAATTTCCCACACTCAACCTTAACTGGGCACTAAACAACCCTTTAGATGTACGAAGGATCTGAAAGACTCATTAGGTGACCATGCTCGCCAGTCTCCAGGATGGTCCTAACCTCCTGCTACTCACGCCCTTGGGTGTCCCGTCCTGCACTCCTCCGGGTAGAAGATACACCCTGAGGCATGCACAGCTGGTGCATGTCAGCTCCATGATCAGTTGTAAGAGCAGCTCCCATTGGGCCCCTTGCTCCGAGGGGAGCCAGCCGCCCTATCAGGAGTGGCACTGAGCAGGGACCTGTGTGGTGTAGAAAAGAGGCCAGTAGGCAACCACGGGACAGGCTTGTGAGCAGATCCTTCAGCAATGGCCGAGTCCTCAGATTCCTATGGCCCTGGCTGACAGCTTGGCCAAACCTCACGCAAGACCAAGAATCAGAACCATGCAGCTAGGCCACTCCTGGGTGCCTGACACCACAGACACAGTGTGAAACAATGTTTGCTGTCTTACAGTTTCTGTGTTTTGGGATAATTTATTACTCAGTAATGGATGGCCAATACAGTTATCCAGAACATATACTCTAATTTTGATGGATATGTCAACCACATACATATACAGTTTCCCTTCCTGGTTAACCAACAGGAGATGATTTCCCCCTACAGACTAGCACAGGCAGAGTTAGGTAAATTTCCAAGTTGAGCAACAAACAATATCAATGATGGAAACTGACAGCGCTGGAACCCGACTCTGAAAGGCCTCTGTCTTCTGAAGCCTGTCTTCTGATGTGCGCAGCGGGAGGCCACAAGGCTGAGGACAAGGCTGCTGGCCCCACACGTGCACCAGGAGGTGGCACTGCAAGTAGGAGCAGTTTGTCCAAAAACAGCTGGATGATGACTAAGGAAGGGTTTACCTTCCAAGATGACCCAGGTAAACCTCAGTGGCTACAGACAGGAAGCTCCCAAGCAGGCCCGCTTACCTGGCACGTAGGCCAAGGAGCTATAGCCGTCGGGCAGAGGGAAGGTCAGCTCTACGGGCTGGGAGCCCTCATTGCCTATGGCCAGTTGAACGAGGAGAACGGCCATGGACACCTGCAAGTTGAGGCAGTTTTGCAGCATCTGCGGCTCAGTCATGGCGGTCTTGGTAGAGAGATAGATGGTCATAAGTCGCTCAAACTGCTCACGCAGGTTGTCAGCCGCGGGGCTAGAGCTTTGCTGAGCATCTCGCCAGGCGACCTGCAGCCGGTGCAGATTTTGGTTGATTTTTACCATCTGATCATGCAACCTGCCTCCAAGAAAGCAGAAGAAACTGGGTCAGGAGGCTCATATAGGGATAGTTGAGTACTTTCCATTCCAGAAATACAAATCCTCATTTTATTTTTATAATAGTTTTTTGTATCTTTTAAAAAATATACATTTCTTATTGATTTCAGAGAAGAACGGAGAGGGAGACAGAGATAGAAACATCAATGATGAGAGAGAATCATTGACTGGCTGCGTCCTGCATGCTCCCTACTTGGGATCGAGCCTGCAACCTGGGCATGTGCCCTTGACCAGAATCGAATCTGGGACCTTTCAGTCCACAGGCCGACGCTCTATCCACTAAGGCAAACTGGCTAGGGTCAAATCCTCATTAATTTATTCTAGTATCTCTTTTAGGATGTAGGAAGTTGCAATTATGACAATACAGAAGGCACTCATGAAAGTTATTGACAAAGAGGCAGGGGGCACAGCACTGGAAAATGTTACCAAGTCTTCAACATAATTATAGGTAATTACAAATAGTAGGCATGGTATAGATTGGGATATTACTATGTCAAATAAATAACTATTAAGCAAAGTATAAGAAGGCCAGCAGGAGAATTCGACAACCCACAAGTGCAATGACTGTACCTAGATATAGTTGTATGGGCAGTCTTCCCATGGTTAGAAGAGAACTAAAGCCCTGGTTGGTGTGACTAAGTGGCTAGAGCATCGGCTGCTGTAGGTTCAGTTCCTGGTCAAGGGCAGGGGAGGTTCGATTTCTGCTCCGGTCCAGGTGCGTATGAGAGGCAACCAATTTGTCTCTCTCTCCTCCCCACCTTTCTTCCACTCTCTCTAAAAATCAATGGGAAAAATATCCTCACTCCTTGGGTGAGGATAAAAAAGAGGTTCTACAGTAATAGAGACCACCTGTAAGCGAGCAGCCACCGGGCGGCGATGAAAAAGCCTTCTGTTCAGTATTCATTATCTTTCACAAAGGGCCAGCCAAATGTTCTCTAAGGAAAGAAGACCCACAATTCAATGTTATGGGTAGTTTCTCTACGTGTATAGCACCAAATCATCTTCTCTGGCCCTGAAGGTGATGTCTGTGGGGGGAGGTAGCCTTACTGGGAAACTAGATGACATTCACTTTTGTGTTTGAATGTAGGTGGTTGAACAGGCCAAAAAATATGCTGAATGAATTGTTATCTATTGTCTCATTTAAATTGTCAATGAGAGGGATAGAAAATCTCTAATAAAGATGTAATTTCATTTTTTAAGAGATTTGCTAAGTTTTGAACAATGCCCTGTCAATTGAAGTACCCTGATAAGGTATTAAAAAACTGCTACCCTCAATATCCCATCCTCTAGACCAGAGGTGGGGAACGTCCGGCCCATGAAATCATTTGGTCTGGGCCTGCCACGGCATTAGGGGTGAATTAATTAAATGTTTGACCACATAGAGCAGGCTAATTTTTAAACTGATAATTTTGTGTGGTCTGTGAATGATGTTATAAATAAGCAACCAGCCCTTGGCAGAAAAACGGTTCCCCACCCCTGATGTAGACTACAACTATGAGTGAGTAGTTTTTTCTCTTCTTATTTATACTTGTAGTCATAATCAGCTGAACCAGAGGGAAACAAAATTCTAGAGTAACTATAGCTAGCTAGAACCAGAACCATTTTTTAAAGTTATACCCTCTAGTTCTAGAACCTTCACACTTCTAGAATCCCCTTTATCTTTGAAACGTGAATCTTTTGCAGTCTTACGGACCTGATTGGAATCCCTTATAAACATTTCTTTAATCTTGTCTCTACACCATAGAGTACAGCTTGGTCTTTTCTCATCAGGAGTAGTAAGTAATGAATATTCAAGAGCAGAGAGTGAAATATTAAATGAAAACAATTCCACTTTGACAGATAACAATAGAAGACAGTGATTTTAAAATTTGCAAGTTTAGAGAAAAATACTAGTGTATCTTTAATTTTAGTAAGTTTAACACAGCGATAATTAAACATAAATTCAAGTTATTTGGACAAAACCAATTCATGTAAACACAAATAAATGCAAATAATGCCTTTTCCTACCAGACCCTAATGCGAGCCTTCCTTCTGGAGGAAGTGAGGTTGCAAGACGCCTCTGAGCTTCCTGCCCATCAGCACGATTTATGGGTCTTTCCTAGCACCATCAGGAGAGTTACCTGTGAAATCCCAAGTGTAAGGTGTACTCTGTCAGCACAAGGTTCTCCGTTACGAGGTTGTAGTTCTGGGGAAACTTTGGCTCCTGCACAGCTGGGATAAGACAGGTTTCTTTGTCCAAACCTCAAAGAAGTCAGAAGACACAGTAAACGGCTTGCCACAGGCATCTCTCCTGGTCTCCTGGGTCCCCTGATTCTAGTTCCACTTCCTTACTGCTACCAGTGATATCTTTCTTTTTAAAGTAATATCTTCTTAAAAACAAATCTTATCACATCACCACTCCTTTGTCTAAAAACATCTTTTGGCTCTCACTATTCACAGAAATGCAGTTAAATTTCTTTAGCTTGAGGAGAAACCAAGATGGCGACATAGGTAAACACCGGAAATTGCTGCCTCCCACAACAAATTCAAAAATACAACTAAAAGACAAAATGGACATCATCCAGAACCATAGGAAGGCTGGCTGAGTGGAAATTCTACAACTAGAAGGAAGAGAAAAGCACACTGAGACTCAGAGGAGCTGCAGAAGTAAAGTGCAGAGGTACGGAGGCGCACACTGCAGGGGCTGGTGACTGAGGACACGGCTGTCTTTTTGAATCGGGAGGGAGTCACAAGCCCCCGACTGCTCTGAACTCCAGTTCTGGGTGAGTCTCTGGGGACCCAGACTCATACGAGGAGAAACTGGACTGTCTGGCAGTGGGCAGAACTCGGAACTCGAGGGCGGCTTTCTCTTAGAGGTGCCTGCAGCGATTACTGGGACACTGAGACTCAGGGCCTCTTAGGGCAGGGCTAAGGATCAGCCATAGCTGCTTGCTCCACCCTTTGATTCCCTGAGACCCCGCCCCACCCAAGCTGAGGCAGAGGCTTTTGCATATGAATGCCCTGGCCCTTTGCAATCTGAAAATTACCTAACAAACTGCAGCTGGGCCAGACAGACCCAGAACTTCCAAGAGAAGGCCCAAGGCCCCACAGCAGCTTGCATTGCTTCACAGCTGGGCCTCATTTGGGCACCTCCAAACCCCAAATAAAGAAGAGGAATCTGCAGATCTCTTCATAGCTCCTGCTGGGTAGCCTCAGGCAGAGGCTAAATTAGCACCTCCTTAGATCCAAGAGCCAGTGTACCCAGAGGTCAGAGTGGGACCATCCAATTACAACTCCTCAGATCCATAAGGGACACACTGAGGGGGTAGACTCAGTGAGCACCAAAGCCCCACTGAAGCAAGTCTTGCCTCATAAGGGTGTCTTCAGCACAGAAGTTCTCCCACCGTAGACACAGCTGGCTCTCACAGCCAATTGGCCTGGAGGTCAATTCCTCCCAGTGATAGCTACAACAATCAAGGCTTAACTACAACAAGACTGTGCACAAAGCCCACAAAGGGGGTGCACCAAGAGTGTCCACTTCAGGTAATTGGGGAGGCTGAGCCACTGGGCCCTATAGGACACCTAGCACACAAAGCCACTCTACCAACACAGGGAAGC